GTGCATGTAAAATAATAAGAATATCACAATAAATAGATGGTGGAAGAAAATAATGAATATAAAATGAACACAGAAACCACATAATATAATGGTATAAATATTGCCACGAATATTGAATAAATCCAAAAAATGGTGTAATAGTCCACAATATATTTATACGTGTAAAGTCAAATGATTAGACTCCCAAGTAAACTTGATCGGTGATAGTGAAAGTGATCAGTATGACAAGCAATCCATCACCAGCTAAATTGCCTCCTCACCTCCATGTTGCAACCCTTAGGGGCCAACGCACTTTCAGGGCGCTCAACGCCAAACAGATCAGCATAGCGTCCTTACACACGAATCCTGGACCCCCAGCGGCCATGATATTGAAGACCGGAGCAGTAAGAGATCACTGCAGCGTGGGACGATAAGAAACCCGAATTGTAGACTATAAACTTTATTGGAAACCATCTAAAAATGCTAACCGAGTGTCAATACACTTCATAAAGCACCCTCCAGCAGGGGACAGGGTGCAACAAAGTCTAAATATGCCAAGACCAAATAAAAAATAAAATGTATGAAAGGGACAAAGCTAAAAAATGTGAAAACAAAAAACCTAACCCTGGCAGCCATAAAAAGGGGGATCGCAAACCTACTGACATGTATAGGAGAGTAAGTCATATACCAAAATTAACCCACATGGGGGTAGACAAAAATAAAAAATGGAAATAAAAGGCTACCAGGAAAAAAAAAAAATAAATAACAGCTGTACCAAAGCAACACCGATATGAATACATAAGAATAAATATGGTAAAAACAAATAATGCACAGATATTAACCACTAGGGGACCGCCCACAGTACATTTACTGTGGCAAAGCGGCCCCGGTAGGCAGGATCACATTTATAAACATCATCCGGTTTACATGATCGCGGCTGTGGGTGTCAATCACTGGGTCACAGCCGGTGATTACCCGCCCGGTCCCAGCGATTGCGGGTAAACACTGTCACGGAGCACAGCTGCATTGTTTTCAATACAGCTCTGCTCCCTGTCAGTTTCCAGCACACTGTACCGGAGAGCAGAGCTTAGCTTTCCAGGACAGTGTGTTCCTGTGAAGAACATCCCGCCCACTAGTAAAACACTCCCCTCACACAGTTAACCCTTTGATTGCCGAAAAATGTTAATTCCTCCCTCCCCAGTGCCATTAGTATGTCAGTGCTTTTTTTTTTTTTTTTAAACCAATTAATTTACACTATTAATTTGATTTTTGCATTTTTTTTTTACTGGACAGGTTTTATAGCAAAAAGTCCAAAATATTGTTTTGTCATACCATCATCTTTTATATTTTACCAAATAATTGGCCAATATTTTGTGTTTTTGTGCATCAAAAGTAAAGAGAAGTGTATTTTTTTTTTAAAAAATTGCGTTTGAAAAAAAAAAAAAAAAAAAAAAAAAAAAAAAAAAAAAAAAAAAAAAAAAAAAAAAAAAAAAAAATCGCTGTGCGAGTACTATGTGGCATAAAAAATTGCAGCACCCACCATATTATTCACTAGGGTGTTTGCGTTAAAAAAAATATATAAATAATGTTTGGGGTTTAAATTGATTTCCTAGCAAAAAAATACTGATTTATTTAATGTGAACAAAAAGTTTCAGAAAAGGCGTGAGTGATGTGTGGCATAAACTTCTAATGCTGGGCATAAAATGCCCCCACCCCCAAAACAACCCCATTTTGGAAAGTAGACACCTCAAACTATTTGCTGAGAAGCATGTTGAATCAATAGAGGAATTTTTTTTTTTACCACAAGTTATTGGAAAATGACAAACAAAAATTTTTTGTTTTTTTTTTTTTGTTTTTTTTTTTTGTTTTTTACACAAATTGTCACTTAAATGATTTATTGCTCACACATGCCATGGGTATATGTGGAATTACTCTCCAAAATACATTCTGCTACTTGTACCTCCATACTGGGTATGGGGATACCACATGGGAGAGATGTTTTGACAGTCTAGCCAAGTACAGGACCCCAAAATCCAATAAGCACCATCAGGCTTTTAAAGCGCTTTATTTCCTCATTACACTTCCTGACTACCTAAAAAAGTGTGTCATTTTCCAGAAACTTGTGGAAAAAAAAAAAATTTCCATGGACTCAGTATGCCTCTCAGCTTACGGTGTCTACTTTCCAAAAAGGGGTCATTTGGGGGTGTTTGTATTGTCCTGGTATTTTAGCACCTCAACAAATGTGATGGGCAGCCAGGAAGTAAAATCAATATACACTTTTTGGGATTTTTTTTTTAACCAAAAACATGTAGCAAAATACATTTTGGCATAAATGTATAATAACTTTGAGTTTACTATATATTTTGTATAGCCGAAAGTAAACAATATTGTTTTTCAACATTTTCGGTCTTTTTTGGTTTATAGCACAAAAAATAAAAAGCGCACAGGTGATCAAATACCACCAAAAGAAAGCTATTTGTGTGAAAAAAAAAAAAAGTACATAAATTTCGCTTGGGTACAGCATTGCATGACCGCGCAATTATCAGTTGAATTAGTGCAGCGCCGAGTAGCAAAAAGAGGCCTAGCCATTTACCCCTTCACACCTAAGGGTAAAACAAATCTAAATGCCCAAGCACAATTTTGCAACGTTGACATGTTAGTAAAATCGTACATATCATCACAACTACTTTGTACATCTGGGTGAATTATATATTTTTCAGGACAAAATAGGGCTTTCATTTGGTGGTAAATGGTAATAGATATCTCCTGATTTTCTTTTTTTTATTATCAAAAAAAAAAAAAAAAAAAAAAACTGTCCCAAAATAGCAAAACAAAAATCTTTTTTTTTTTTATTTAGCTGTGTGTTTCTTGTTACTACCATAACCTACCACCAAAGAACAACCCAAAATAAATTCTCCATCTCTTGTTTTTGTCTTTTTTTTCTTTTTTTTTTTTTACCTAAAACACACTGACACTCCCCTATAGCGTTTGACAAGCGTTGGTCCGGCGTTTGCGGAGCGGTTTTTTAACGCTCCTCAAACGCCGCATGCGCGGTTTAGCGGAGGTTGCAAAGCATTAAAAACGCCCCAGAAATGCCTATAATGAAGTTTGAATGGTGTTAACGCTCCGCAAACGCCCCGCAACCGCACACGCCGGCCGGGCGTTTGCGGAGCGGCACCATAGACTTGAATAGGAGGCTTCAACTCCTCCTGACTCGAAAAGAGGCGTCCGTTTTGCCGCGACGTGATGCTAACGCTCCCGTGTGAACAGCAGGAGGTGCTGCAATGTGCAGAATTTTCACAGGCGTTTGGGAAGCGGTAAAAAAACGCTTCCCAAACGCCTGTCTGCCGCTTGCAAACAAGGCTAGTGTGAACGTAGCCTAACTGACACGGATACCAATTTTTTTTTAAATCCTGACCTTTGACCCTGACCTTTTGACCTTGACCCAAACAATAACCCTGGCACTGAACTAGATCAAACCTTGATCTAGGTATTTTTTCTTTTATTTTTAAATATTCATTTTTTAACAAACTTTTTTCTCTCTATGCCAGCAAGAGAAGAAAACAAGGGGGCTAGGCTGCACAGTGACTGATCACTGTGATAGCCAAATCAGAGGCTATCACAGCAATCATGTGACCCGGAATAGGGAGAGTCCCGAGTCCCGATCGTTAGAAGAAGTGGCAATGTGAGCATTGCAGCATGAAATAGACACATCTTTTGACAGCGTCACAGCATAGAATACATTACCAAAGCTATGGGAAGACAGGAATGAATAGACACCAGCGGAACCATAATGCACAGGGAGTCATGGGGAAGCCGTAAACGCGACCAATCGATGAGCCCATATAGCCTTGGCAAGAGTCCCAGCATCAGAGCGTCATCGTCTGCATAGGAAGGCTTCTCCCAATTCATCCCACTTAAGCTCCTTGTTTCTAAACCCTTTTTCTGGCAGCTTTCCTGAAGTGGGTGGGTGCCACACCTACTCTAGGAGGAGCTAACAGAAAGGTTCCATGAGGATGACAGAGTCATGCCCAGCCACTACCCCTAACAAACAACATTTATCTAAGAATATCACACTTTTGCTTCAGTTCAGCTTCCTATCTACCCTAAACTTAAAGATTTCTAACTTCTTAAGCAAGTAGACATCTTTAATTGCACAAACAAGTTCTTATCTAATTTAAGCAGTCTAATCTTGTGACCCTGTTCTTTGGGCCTAGAGAAATGACATCAATGTCTCATGCTCCTGGAATCTGGGCAACAATGCTTTAATGTAAAAATTACCCAAGAAACAAAGGGTCCATAGGCATTACAAGTAGTAAGTGGCAAGTGTGTCCTATTACTAATAGACGTCGCATGTGTCACGGACAAATCCAGAGACCGTGAATCAAGACGGCAAACAGTGTTAGTGCGTGCATGGAACAACATGCCCGTGACAATCCCAGCTGCAGCAGTCATTCCTGTGAGCATTCAGCACATGGAACGCCTGATCCTGGATAATACATGTAGAACTTGTTGTAAAATTGCACAAGAGACGAATCTTTCTGTAGGAAAGGAAAACACAATGACGAAGTGAAGCAGGCTGCCCTAGGATGATTCAGGCGTACTGACAAAATCTTTCTATGCCGAAGCTTTCTAGGCATTAAACACTTGGATAAGTGTCTAAAATGTAGCAGGGGAGTTATTAAAAAAAATAATGTCACACATTTAGGAGAGGGTGAATTTGTAAATAAAAACGGTCATAGCTGCTTGTGCGTTCAACTTAACTGTCAAAATGTCCTAAATGGCTGGTGTCATAAGTGATCACATGTGCAGCACCATGGCAATTTTAGATCAAAAAAGAATAAGATGACAGTTTCCTAGGCTGTAAAGGATAAGAGGGTTTAGTTTTGTTTTAATTTTGAAATGGCAGAAGGCAATGTGGGGCTTATGAAATTAGGTGTCACTTTTAGAAGAGTAATTCACTCATAAAGAGTTTTAATTCATTTAAAATTTGGCACATTGTAGTTGACAATTGCACTTACTGCTTCAGAGTTATCAATAAAGGGATCAGTCTCATCATAGCCATAGCCAATGTCTATAAGATCCTGCAAGCGGTCCTTGCGATGACGGTGACTTTTTCGTCCCTGTAATAAAAAATATAGAAGGATAAAAAGTACAGACATACAATAGTAAATAGACAAATGTAAACCAGGGATTGCTTTTTAGCCAATTTTCAAAAACATACCACTTTATAATACCACTCTTTACACTTCTCATGACCAAGTTCACTAACATAGCTCCTAATAAAGCCCCTCATTAAATACACAGTTCATCCCAAAAGTACGGTATTCACAGCACTTAACTTTTGCCACATTTTGTTCTGTTAGTCTTATTCAAAAATGGATTAAATTCATTTTTTTCCACAACATTCTACAAATACCCCATAATGACAATGTGAAAGAAGTTCATCTTGAAATCTTTACAATTTATAAAAAAAACCACCACCACATGTACATAAATATTCACAGTCTTTGCTCAATACTTTGTTGAAGCACGTTTAGCACCAATTACAGCCTCAAGTCATTTTGAGTATGATGCTACAAGCTTGGCAATGTCTAATTTTGGGCAATTTTTCCAATTCTTCTTTGCAGTACCTCTCAAGCTCCATCAGGTTGGATGGGGAGCGTTGGTGCACAGATCAGATCTCTCCAGAGATGTTCAATCGGGTTTAAGTCTGGACTCTGGCTGAGCTACTCAAGGACATTCACAGAGTTGGCCCGTAGCCACTCCTTTGTTATGTGGGCTGTGTGCTTAGGGTTGTTGTCTTGTTGAAAGATGAACTGTCACCCCAATCTAAGGTCCAGAGCACTCTGGAAAAGGTTTTCATCAAAGATGTGTCTGTACATTGCCGCATTATTTCCTTTGATGCGGACTAGTCTCCCAGTTCCTGCCACTGAAAAACATCCCTACTGCATGATGCTGCCACCACCACGCTTCACTGTAGGGATGATATTGGCCAGTTGGTGAGCGGTGCTTGGTTTCCTCCAGACATAAGGCTTGGTAATCAGGCCAAAGAGTTATTATATTATTAAAATTAACAAAGAGTTCAATCTTTATTTCATCAGACCAGAGAGTTTTGTTTTCTCATGGTCAGAGTCCCTCAGGTGCCTTTTGGCAAACTCTAGGCGTGCTGCCATTTGCCTTTAGGAGTGGCATCCGTCTGGCCACTCTATCATACAGGCCTGATTGGTGGAGTGCTGCAGAGATGTTTCAGAGTGACCATGGGGTGCTTGGTTACCTCCCTGGCTAAGGCCCTTCTCCCTCAATTGCTTATTTTGGATGGGCAGCCCGATCTGGGAAGATTCCTGGTGGTTCCAAACTTATTCCATTTACGGATGATGGAGGCCACTGTGCTCATTGGGACCTTCAATGCTACAGAAATTTTTAGTACCCTTCCCCAGATCTGTGCCTTGATACAATCCTGTATCGGAGGTCTACAGACAATTCCTTGAGCTTCATGGCTTGGTTTGTGCTTTGACATGCACTGTTAACTGTGGGACCTTATATAGACAGGTGTTTGCCTTTCCTAATCATGTCCAATCAACTGAATTTCCCACAGGTGGACTCCAATCAAGTTGTGGAAACATCACACTCTGATCCACTGCATTTTTGACTGCTCTGGTGTGTGGAATACATGAAGAAAACTGCATACATTTTTCATACAGAAAAAAAAAAAAAAAAGCACTGGGCTGCATCTGGTGTGAACCAGCCCTAAATCAATATCTATTAAACCACTTCCATACAGGGCACTTTTACCCCCTTCCTGCCCAGGCCAACTTTCATGTTTCAGCGCGCTCACAGTTTGAACAATTGCACAATACAACACTGTACCAAAAACTAAAAATGTTAGCATTTTCTTCACACAACTAGAGGGTTCTTTTGGTGGTATTTAATCATCATTGGGGTTTTTATTTTTTGCTAAACAAAAAAAGACAGACAGAAATTTTTGAAAAAAAAAAAAAAAAAACACGTTTTTCTTTGTTTCTGTTATAAAACTTTGCAAATAAATAATTGTTCTTCATAAATTTAGGCCAAGATGTTTTTTGCTACATTTCTTTGGAAAAAATAACCCAAATTAGGATGTATTATTTAGTCTGTAGGAAAGTTAAAGAGTTCACAAACTATGGGATATATCTGAAAATTAATCAATCCTGAAGTACTGACGGCCAATCTAAATTCTTGAATTCCAAGAATGTCAGAACAGTACAGACATCACCCAAATGACCCCTTTTTGCAAAGTAGACAGTCCAACGTATTTCATAAAAGGCATGGCGAGTTTTTGGAAGTTGTAATTTTTTTTGTCATAATTTTTCGGAAAATGAATTAAAAAAAATTATTTCAATTTTTTTTTTGTTTGTTACATACTGTCACCAGTGCAGTACAGTGTCATCATATAACTGGCATGGCGGCGGTGATCAGGGACACTGACTGGTGACAGTACGGGAAAAAAAAAATATATATATATATATATTTTTTTTTTTTAATTATTTTAAATGTTTTATTTATTTATTTTTTTTTAAGATTTTTTTTTTTCATATTTTACTATGACCAAAGTAGTACAATGTTACCATGGTAACATTGTACTACTTTGGGGAAGTGATCAGTATTTTTTTTTTTTTTTTTTTTTTTTTACACAATTTCTCTTTTTTTAAGATTTGTTTTTCATATTTCACTATGACCAAAGTAGTATAATATTACCATAGTAACATTGTACTACTTTGAGGAAGTGATCGTTTTTTGTTTGTTTTTTTTTGTTTTTTTTTACACAATTTGCTTATAGCAAAGAATTACTTTGCTATAAGAGAGAATTTACCTGAATGAAATTGATTCATTCAGGGAATTTTTGTTTGTGCTTAGCTGTGATTTGGCCGCGGCTAATCGCATGACATATCTGGGCTGTGATTGGCCTAGCTTGTGCATGTGATCTTTGTGACCATTCACAGCTAGACACTTGTATACAATGGATGGTATGAAAGGCAGCAGCACAGCTAATGCCCTTGGTGGACAAAAGCAGAAAGACACCTGGCAGCCCACATTTTCTTAACCACTTCAAGTCCGGACACTTTTACCCCCTTCCTGTCCAGGCCAATTTTCAGCTTTCAGCGCTATCACACTTTGAATGACAATTGCGCGGTCATGCAACACTGTACCCATATGAATTTTTTAGCTTTTGTTTAGAGACAGATAAAGCTTTATTTTGGTGGTATTTATTCACCACTGGGATTTTAATTTTTTTTTTGCTACCGTATTTGCCGGCGTATAAGACGACTGGGCGTATAAGACGACCCTCTACTTTTCCTGTTAAAATATAGGATTTGAGCTATACTCGGCGTATAAGACTACCCCTCTTCCAACACACACACCAAATAAAAATGAAAAAACATCAGATTTGATTTCAATATGGTTTGCTATTTCAGTATGGTATTCCAATGATGGGGTGCTATTCCTCGCTCTGACTCCAATGATGGGGCACTGTTTCGTTGGTGTCCGTGGGGGGGGGGGGGGGGGGGGAACAGCGCCCCACCGTTGGTGTCCGTGGGGGGGGGGGGGGGGGGGGTACAGCGCCCCACCGTTGGTGTCCGTGGGGGGGGGGGGGGGGGGGGGGGGGAAACAGCGCCCCACCGTTGGTGTCAGTGGGGGGGGGGGGGGGAGGAACAGCGCCCCACCGTTGGTGTCAGTGGGGGGGGGGGGAGGAACAGCGCCCCACCGTTGGTGTCAGTGGGGGGGGGGGAGGAACAGCGCCCCACCGTTGGTGTCAGTGGGGGGGGGAAACAGCGCCCCACCGTTGGTGTCAGTGGGGGGGGAGGAACAGCGCCCCACCGTTGGTGTCAGTGGGGGGGGAGGAACAGCGCCCCACCGTTGGTGTCAGTGGGGGGGAGGAAACAGCGCCCCACCGTTGGTGTCAGTGGGGGGGGAGGAAACAGCGCCCCACCGTTGGTGTCAGTGGGGGGGAGGAAACAGCGCCCCACCGTTGGTGTCAGTGGGGGGGGAGGAACAGCGCCCCACCGTTGGTGTCAGTGGGGGGGGGGAGGAACAGCGCCCCACCGTTGGTGTCAGTGGGGGGGGAGGAATAGCGCCCCACCGTTGGTGTCAGTGGGGGGGAAGGAACAGCGCCCCACCGTTGGTGTCAGTGGGGGGGGGGAACAGCGCCCCACCGTTGGTGTCAGTGGGGGGGGAACAGCGCCCCACCGTTGGTGTCAGTGGGGGCAGCGCCCCACCGTTGGTGTCAGTGGGGGGGGAGGGGTGTCAGGAACAGCGCCCCACCGTTGGTGTCAGTGGGGGGGGAGGAACAGCGCCCCACCGTTGGTGTCAGTGGGGGGGGAGGAACAGCGCCCCACCGTTGGTGTCAGTGGGGGGGAGGAACAGCGCCCCACCGTTGGTGTCAGTGGGGGGGGAGGAACAGCGCCCCACCGTTGGTGTCAGTGGGGGGGGAGGAACAGCGCCCCACCGTTGGTGTCAGTGGGGGGGGAGGAGGAACAGCGCCCCACCGTTGGTGTCAGTGGGGGGGGAGGAACAGCGCCCCACCGTTGGTGTCAGTGGGGGGGGGAGGAACAGCGCCCCACCGTTGGTGTCAGTGGGGGGGGAGGAACAGCGCCCCACCGTTGGTGTCAGTGGGGGGGGAGGAAATAGCAGCGCCCCACCGTTGGTGTCAGTGGGGGGGGAGGCGCCCCACCGTTGGTGTCAGTGGGGGGGGAGGAAACAGCGCCCCACCGTTGGTGTCAGTGGGGGGGGAGGAACAGCGCCCCACCGTTGGTGTCAGTGGGGGGGGAGGAACAGCGCCCCACCGTTGGTGTCAGTGGGGGGGGAGGAACAGCGCCCCACCGTTGGTGTCAGTGGGGGGGGAGGAACAGCGCCCCACCGTTGGTGTCAGTGGGGGGGAGGAACAGCGCCCCACCGTTGGTGTCAGTGGGGGGGGAGGAACAGCGCCCCACCGTTGGTGTCAGTGGGGGGGGGAGGAACAGCGCCCCACCGTTGGTGTCAGTGGGGGGGAGGAACAGCGCCCCACCGTTGGTGTCAGTGGGGGGGGGAGGAACAGCGCCCCACCGTTGGTGTCAGTGGGGGGGGGAGGAATAGCGCCCCACCG